TTCTCCTTCTGGTATCCCTATTACATGGATTTATTGCACTTCAGGTTGTCCTGCATTTCCCTAAATGCCTCTTCATTCTTTCTGAGTCTTTTTTCCATTTCTTGTTCTTTCTGGGAGCTTTTTTCTACCTTATCCCCCATCTCACTGATTCGATCCTCAGCTTCATTCACACTGCTTTTGATTCCGTCTACTGTGTTCTTCAATTTAGAAATGGTATTCTTCATATCCTCTTGTGTCTTCTTGATAGTTTCTATGTCCTTTTCCAGGCTGATATAGTTTGCTGTAAGATCCTGATAGTTTTTCTGCAGTTTCTCATAGTTACCTTTGAGCTGGCTGAGCTCAGTGAGCTTCCTTAGAGCCCTTGTTTTGAATTCAATATCTGATAGTTCCCTTGCCTCTATTTCATTTAGCTCTCTCTGTGGAGCTTCCTCCTTTACCCTCATTTGGGGGAAACTTCTTTTTCTTCCCATTTTTGTGAGAGTCTATTCAGTAGTTAAATAATTAATTAATTAATTAATTTTTGCTTCTGCTTCAATTGATCCGTCTAGATCTCCTTACTTGGTGGATTAAACTTCTATGGTAGTAGGCAGGTTTGTTTGTTTGTTTATTTATTTTCCCCCTTTTCTTTATGGCCTGCCCGTGATGATGTCAGTTGTTGAGCGTATATGACCTTGGGCTGTTTGTTTGAGCCTTCCAGGATTCTACTGTCTGTGTCTGACTTCTGCTTTGTGCAGCTCTGTGACCCCTTCTGCCAGGGATCCACTATTTCTGTGGATCGCTCTGCACTCTCATGCCGGCTCCTTGAGTCACTCCCTGGCCGGCAGGATTCCCCGCCTGACTGGGCGCTTATTCTCCTCACCTCGCTTACTCGTCTGGCGCCCGTGCCGGTGGGCGCCCTGCGACTGGTCAGTTTAGGGTCTTCTATTGTGTGCTTTCCTTGCTTTTGGCTCTTTGGGGGCGTCATCTGCCTGCACAAAATGGAGACTACGGAAATGAGAGGAAGTCAGCTCCAGGACTCTCTGGTTAATCCTGTCTCCAGTCTCTCCTCCAGGGTCTCTGGGCATCTCTGTGACTCCTTTGGCCCAGGACCCACTATTTCTGCAGAGCGCTCTGTACTCGCGGGCCCGTGCACGCGACGGTTTACGCCTGCCCTTGCAGATCTGTGCACTCGCAGGCCCAGTATTCGTCAACTTGCAGGAGCCCTCGCCAGCCCGGACAGTCGCGGGTCCACACATGCGCTGGCCAACCCTCGCAGGCCACTCATTGTGTGTGTGTGCTTGCCTGCACGGGGTGGTTTTGGGCTGTCTATTGTGTGCTTTTCAGCTTTTGACTCTTTGGGGGCGTGGCCTGCCCGTGCACAATGGAGACTACCGAAGGGAGGAGTTGGGACTGCCCGGTTCCTCCTCCTGTTCTTTCCCCAACGCCTCCATCTCTAGTCTCTCCTCAAGGCTCTCTGTGCAGCTGTGTGACCCCTTTGGCCAGGGATCTTCTATTTCATCCAGCTTGTCTGCACTTAGCCCCCCCGCCCACATGCGCACAAGCTGTGTGTAGAGCGCACAAAAGGCAGGTTAATTGATTCCCTTGTGCCTGAGCGAGATGGTAGCTGCAGAGTGGGAGGTGAGTCATCACCGGGGCTCCCCCAACCACTGTCTCAGTTCTCTTCTCAGTCTTCCTCACCAATCTTTTCCCAGGCACCAGCCCACTCTGCTCCTGCCTCTACCCAGAGATCACGGACGGCGGCTGCTACTGCAAATTTTTGCATTGGCTCTTTATATGTCTCTTCGCATCCCCAGCCACCTGTCTCTGGCAGAGAGCGCCCCTAAGCTTTTCGGGGTTGCGTTTTGTCTGTGTGTTTTTCTGGTTTCAGCTGCTGTAGTCTAGGGGTCCCTGTTTATGATTCAAACCCTGTTCTTCTCAGGGGGATCCAGCTGGCCATTTCAATGTCCCTCTGGTGCTGGTGCCCGTGGGCCCCCAGCCCACCCTCTCGAGCCTTCACCGCACTTCTCACCCGTTGGGATGTGTGAGAGTTGAATCCACTGTCTGTCTGTGGCTCCAAGGCTCCTCTCCTCTGTCATAATTTCATTGTTTTCCAGGTGATTTCTCCACTATTTAGTCGCAATTCCAGTTTGGTCTTTGGAGGTGGTCAGCGTGACTCCCATTCACTCCTCCACCATCTTCCTCCTAAAAGGACAAACCCATCTGCCTCTTTCTCTGGGGTCGAGGGTGTTTTCAACTCTGGAGGCTTCCTGAAGAAGTGAAACATTGCTGCCGCTGGGATCTGTGTTGCAGTCCAGTCCCTGGTTGGGGGTGTGTGAGAGGCAGCCAACTGATGTTTCTCTCTCACATCGATGTTTCTCTCCTTCTCTTTCTCCCTCCTTTCCGCTCTCTCTGAAGCAAGCACCGCAGTCCCCTGCCGCATCAGCGCCAGAGCCCAATACCCTGCTTCCCTGAATTCTTGTAGTAGGTAGCGGGATAAGGATTTTAGTTTTTGTTTTTGTTTTTAGTATGTGTTACAAATTTTAAAAGTCAGAGCTTATGTTCTGTATAAGGCTTTTTTAAATTAAAGATTTTGCTTATTAAGGGTAAATTTTAGGTCTTTTGGCCAAGATGGAGGCATATGTAGATATGTTCCACTGGCCCCTTCTCCTCCTTGCACAACCATAAGAAGGATAACAACCAATCTAAAAACAAAAAACAACCAGAACTGTCAGAAAATTGAACTGTATGGAAGTCTGACAACCAAGGAGTTAAAGAAGAAACATCATCAAGATGGGTAGGAGGGGTGGACAGAGGCAACCGGGGTGGAGGGGATGTGTGGCCAGGTGGTGGCAGAGGTGGGTGGAACACCTGGTAGTCCTATATTTGCATGCAGTGTATAAAAACCAGGAGGGACAACTGGAGAGTGAGCAATCCCAGCCCCATGCCAGACCGTGCAGCCCAGGATTCCAGTGCCAGGAAATAAAGCCTCATAACCTCTGGCTGTAAAAACCAGCAGGGGTTGTGAATGAAAGAAAGTGCTAGTCTCTCAAGAGGGTCTGTTTGAGAGGCCTACAGGGTCCTAGAACATACACAAGCCCAGCTACTCAGAGAATCAGCACCAGGGCAGCAGCTGTAATGGCACCTGACACTTGCAGGAAATGGGGGAAGTGACTGAAAATGGGGCAATAGTCAAGCAGGCAGCATTGTTCCCTCTCTGACCCCTCCCCCACATACAGTGCCACAAAGCAGGGAAGCTGGTTGCCCCGCTGTGGTGAATACCTGAGGCTCTGCCCCTTACAATGTAACAGGTGCGCCAACACGGGGAGTCAAACCAGCTCTACATAATAAACAGAAACACAGGGAAGCTGCCAATTTGAGGAGGCAAAGAAATATGACCCAAATGAAAGAACAGACCAAAACTCCAGAAACAGAACTAAGATAGCCAACCTATCAGATGCAGAGTTCAAAACATGTGATCAGGATGCTCACAGAAATAGTTGGATATGGCCTCAAAATAGAGGAAGAAATGAAGGCTATACAAATTGAAATAAAGAAAAATATACAGGGAACCAATAGTGAAGGGAAGGAAGCTGGGATTCAAATCAACAATTTGGAATAAAACGAAGAAAATAAACATTTACCTGGAACAGAAAGGAGAAACAAGAATTCAAAAGAATGAGGAGAGGCTGAAGAACCTCTGGAACAACTTTAAACGTACCAACATCCAAATCAGGGGTGCCAGAAGGAGAAGAGGAAGAGCAAGAAATTGAAAACTTACTTGAAAAAAAAATGAAAGAAAACCTCCCCAATTTGGCAAAGGAAATAGACATACAAGTCCAGAAATCTCAGAGAGTCCCAAACAAGTGGGACCCAAAGAGGGCTGCACCAAGACACATCATAATTAAAATGCCAAAGGTTGAAGATAAAGAGAGAATCTTAAAGCAGCAAGAGAAAAGAAAGTTACCTGCAAAGGAGTTCCCATAAGACTATCAACTGATCCTTGCAGGCAAGAAGGGACTGGCAAGGAGGATTCAAAGTGATGAAAAACAAGGACCTACATCCAAGATGACTCCATCCGGCAAAGCTATCATTTAGAACAGAAGGGCAGATAAAGTGCTTCCCAGGCAAGGTAAAGCTAAAGGAGCTCATCATCACCAAGCCTTTACTATATGAAATGTTAAAGAGACTTATCTAAGAAAAAAAAAATCAAAGCTATGAACAGTATAATGACAACAAACTGCCAACTCTCAACAACTGAACTTAAAAAACAAAAACAAAAAACAACTAAGCAAACAACTAGAACAGGAACAGAATCATAGAAATGGAGATCACATGGAGGGTTATCAGCAAGGAGGGGGAGAGGGGGAAAAGGTACAGGGAATAAGAAGCATAATTGGTAGGTACAAAATAGATGGAGGGAAGGGGTTAAGAACAGTATAAGAAATGGAGATGCCAAAGAATTAATAGGTACAACCCATGGACATGAACTAAGGTGGGGAATTACTGGGAGAATGCGAGTACTGGGCAGAGGGCAGTAAAGGGAAAAATGGGGCAACTGTAATAGAATAATCAATAAAATATACTTAGTAAAAAAGTAAATTTAAAATTTGATCGTTAGATAAATGTAGATAGTATTAAAATTATGGATCCCAATTTTAGTTACTTAATGAGTAGTGGAAATTGCTCCTGGGTTAATGTTAACTTGATTAAAAATATAACATTAAAAATAATAACAATATATTATTAAAATAATAAAACATTTTAAAAAAAATCAGTATAGCCTTCTTCTCTGACTCTTTCCCTTTACTTTCATAGTTAAAAATAGGGAAAGAGGTAGAAAATAGTTATTTTAAAAGATTTTTATTTGTAGTTGAGCCTACTTGATTTTCTTAAGTCCTGAGACATTCAATAAGTAGTTAAATAACATGTTTGTTAATGGGTTTGTTTGCATATGTATGGAATTAATATGGAAACATCAAACACCATTATTAAATGTATTTTCCTAAAACTTTTTAAAACAGCTAATACACAGTTCCTGCCGAATGCTTCACTTTTTCACTAGAAGTAAACGATTTTTAGCAGCCAGTTTGTTCACTTTCACAACCCAGCATGTTTCTTTGAGATTGGCCTGGATTTTACAGAACCTGGTTGAGGTAAGAAAAGTGTGTGCTCGCACGCCTGTGTGTGTGTGTGTGTGTGTGTGTGTGCGCGCGCGCGCGCACGCTTGCCTGCTTGCTTGCTTATGGAGACTGGGGAAGATTCAAGGAATAAGGATAGTAATTTGATTATTTGAGGGAAAATTAAGCATTTACCACATATTGGGATAGAAGACAAGGAATCTTTACTCAGTTTATTTTGTAAAACCTTTTTATTGTGAGCCATAGCACATACAGAAAAATGAACAAAACAAAAATGTGCCACTCAGTGATATATTGTAGAGCAAACATCTGTGTAATACTACTTGAATGAAGAACTACAACACTGTAATACTGTGTATTACATTTTCTTTCTACTTTTACAATTTATATATTTCCTTCTCAATACAATGTTTAGTTTTACCTGAATAATTTTGACCTTTGTATAAACAGAACCATACAGTGTTTATTCTTTTGTATTTGACTACTTTTGCTTAACATTGTATGTGTGAAATATATGCATGTTGTATGTAAATTATTTATATTTACATTGCTATTTAGTGTTCAATATATGATTTTATCAAAGTTTATTTTTCTATTCTATTCATGTACATTTGAATTACTTCGTTTGGGGCCATTACAAATAATGCTGTCTTTTGATGTACCTGTAAATGTATTCCTTTTTTTAACTTTAAAAAATTCTCATCTGAGGACATTTTTTCATTCCTTTTAGACAGAGAGGAAGGGAGAGAGGGAGACAAAATCATTGATGTGAGAGAGAAACATGGATTGGTTGCCTCCCATACGCGCCCAGATCGGGGATCATACGCTCCCGGACTGGGGATTGAACCCTCTACATAGGTATGTGCCCTGACCGGGAATTGAATCTCACAACCTTTCGGTTACGGGACAGTGCTCCAACCAACTGAGCCACACCGGCCAGGGCTGTAAATGTATTTCTGCTGTATCAACATATAGGAATGGAATTTTTAGGGCATGAATGTGTATATATCTTCACTTTTAGTGAATAATGTGAAATACTTTTCCAAAGGTTTTGACAATTTGCATACCCCTCCTCAGTGAGTGAGACTTTTTTTTTTAAATTTACCATCATAATTGATAATTATCAGTCTTTTCTTGTATCTGGTATCTCATTGTGATTTTAGACTGGATTATAAGAAACAGGACCCTGCTATATATTGTCTGCAGAAGACATACTTCTTTAGATTCAACAATTCAAATTGGAAAAAAATACAAATTTGTTAAAAATAAATGGGATCCCAAGATGGCTGTGGAGTAGGTGGAAGCTATACTCACCTCCTCACAGCACTAAACCAGATTTACAACTAAATTAAAGACTCATCAACCTAAATAACCAACTGAAGACTCTACAGAAGAAGCCACATAGAGACTGGTAAGAAGGATGGAGACATGGAAAGGGCTGGCCCCTGCACTCACATGTGGTGGTTTAGAATCCAGAGGGATATCTGAACTGCAGTGATCCCCCTGAGGAGCAAGGGGTCTCAACCCCATACCTAGATTCTCAACCCAGAGCACCGGAGCTGGGAAGAGGCACCTGCATAGCATCTGGAGGTGAAAATTAATGGGGATTCTGCTCACTTAAGAGAGATGGGATTTTGATAGAAACCCAAGCACTCTCTTAGAGGGCCAGCACACAGGTTTTTGTTACCGGGCACCCACATGGGGCTTTGTTAGTGGGAAGGTGAGTCAGGGCATACAAGAGTCATAAACAGAAGATCTGGATGGCGTGGTTTCAAGGAGAGATTTGGAGAGTCAAACATTTAGATCCCTGAGTCCCTATCCACCGTCAGATGTCAATTTCTCAGGGTAGAGCACTCATATCCTTACACCACCATCCTGGAATGAGCACTAGCTCAGTCCTGCAACTCCTGGCAGCACCATCCTGCTGAGCTCGAGTCCTGTAGAAAGGTCTGCTGGCTGCACCCCACTGGGACTTTCAGTGCAATATTTTTTAACAAACTCTTGGCAGAGACTCAGACAGACATTGATCTATATAGTTCCAGTGTAGGGGACATTCATCCCCACCTGCATGCTACTGGAGCCCCTCCCCCAGTGGGAAATGCACTTATTCTATTCTTTTGTCCTGACTTGTTCTTTCCCTGTGGCCCCACTCTGATGGGCTCACATCTCGCAGAGGGATTGGCTGACTGCACCCAGGCTGAACCTGCTGTACACTCTTTCTGGGGTAGTTAGGGTCAGAGATTCAGGCAGAGACTGAGTGGTACGGCTGTGGGGTAGGGGCCACTTTCCCCCCACTGAATACCTGACTGTGTTGTCCCCAAGCCCAAGATTCACTAGACCTACCCTCTGAACTTCAGTCACCCCGCCCTATCATGCATGCCTTCTGGAAGATAGTGGGAAGCTGATCTTTGTATACAGCTTTACTCCTCTGATGTGTACCAAGACCCAGTAGAGACAGCCACTATGAGTGGATTGCTTGATAGTTCCGGACAGGAAGCCCAAGGCCAGTTACAGGCAGCATATGACATCGACTTGCACCTGAATCCCTCCCAAGGGGACCCAGGACAAACAAAACCAGTGGTGTGCTTCAGATCCTACTAGAGCACGTCTCAACTAGACACAAATGGCACACCCAAAGGGAGATCACAGTGGGCACTAGACACTGCTCTGGATAACTGTGTCTTAGGGGGCAGCCCCCCACAGCACCTCATACAGTGTGGTCAGGTTCAATCCTAATAGCCAGCATGAGGGTAAAGCCCATTCACGAACAGGCCAACATCATTCAAGACTCAACTACAGGAGAAGTACTCACATAAGCCACAAAAATGACATTCCTGAAGCACTCAGCTCAGGTTATCTGGAAGATTGTGCCACTGAACCCACAAGGCACCTACAATATAAAACCACTATAACAAGTTTGGGAGTCATAGCAGATCTACCTAATACATAGAGAGAAAAACAGAAAGACAGACAAAATACGGAGACAAAGAAACATGACTGAAATGAAAGAACGAGAGAAATCCCCAGAAAGAAAATTAAATAAAATGGAAGCAAACAAGACACCAGATGCAGAGTTCTAAACAATGGTTATAAGGATGTTTAAAGAACTTAGGGGAAGAATGAATGACCTCAGTGAGAATTTAAATAGATAGTAAGCATTTAAAAGGACATAGAAACCATAAAAAAGAACCAGTCAGAAATGAAGAATACAATATCAGAATTAAAGAATACACTAGAATCAACAGCAAGTTAGATGAAGCAGAGGATTGAATCCGTGGTTTAGAGAACAAGATAACAGAAAACACCCAAGTAGAGTAACAAAAAGTAATTTAAAAAAAGTGAGGGAAGTGTATGGGACCTTACATCTGGGACAATGTCTAGCATAGCAACATCCATGTCATAGGTGTTCCAGAAAGGAGAAGAAAGAGAGCAAGGGATCGAGACCTTATTGAAGAAACAATGACCAAATACTTTCTAAATTTTTGAAGGAAAAAGACACACCTGTGTATGGGGGACTCTGGCTTGTGAAATCCGCCAGTTCGCTCCAGATGAAAGAATGAGTCATTCCCGACACCATTTGCCTGTCAAGGAAAGGGGAAGATGATTCTCTCTCAAGGAGAATGCCCCGAGCTCCTGAGCTCAATGGCTTTTATTGAGAGGGTTACAAGTGGGGAATAGGTAGCAGGAATGTATAGATAATCTAATTACATTGGTAGCTTAAGATGACAGAGAATAGGTGTTGTTTAAAGATGACAATGGCAGGAACACACCGAACTGCTTCCTGTCCGAGATGAGCAAACATTACGGCTCCAGGTGGGATTTGGGTCAGGTCCAGGAATTTTGTAAATTTCTTTCCCAGCCTTGCACTGGTTATCTGGTATAATATTAACAGAGCTTGAAGGAGAAACTAAGCATGCTTCGAAGAGTGTAATTTACTTCTAGGTCTGATTTCCCCTGGGGGTCCTCAGAGTTAGCAGGTCTTGCTTATCTCTGCATTACCAATGTTCCAGCAAACTCTTGCGGGTCCTCTCCCAGGCCCCAGCTTGTGCAGGACTGCAGTTCCTGATACCACTCAAAGCAGCCCCCCTACACCTGTGCAGGAAGCACAGAGAGGGCCAATCAAGATGAACCCAAGAACACAGCATAATTACAATGGCAAAGGTTACAGACAGAGAGTCTTAAAAGTAGCAAGAGAAAAGCAGTTAGTTGCCTACAAGGGAGCTCCCATAAGGCTGTTACCTGATTTCTCAACATAAACACTTCGTGTCAGAGAGAATTGGCATTGATTATTCAAGGTGGTGAAAATCAAGGGCCTACAACCAAAACTAGTCTATTCAGCAAGGCTATCATTTAAAATTGAAAATGAAATAAAGATCTTCCCATGCAAAGTAAACAAAAAAATAAAGGAGTTGTTACCACCAAACTGGTATTACAAGAAATGTTAAAGGGTCTTCTTTAAGAAGAAGAAAGAAAAAAAAAGAGGAACATAGTTATGAAGAATAAAATGGTAATAAATATATACCTATCAGTGATACTTTAAATGTAAATGGATTAACTTCGCCCATCGGAATACATAGGGTAGCTGAATGACTAAGAAAAAATGACCCATATGTATGCCATCTACAGAGATCCACCTCAGAATAAAGGATACACACAGACTAAAAGTAAAGAGATGGAAATAAATGTTCCATGCAAATGGAAAGAAAAGAAAAGCTGGGGTAGTCAAATACTATTAGATAAAATAGACTTCAAAAAAAGGTGATAAGAGAAAAAGAGGACATTACATAATGCTAAGGGGATCAATCCAATGAAAGGATATAACCCTTGTAAAGATACATACACCCAACATAGGAGTAACTAAATATATAAAGCAAATCATGAAGGACATGAAGAGAGAAATCCATAGTAATCCAGTCATAGTAGGGGATTTTAACACCCAATAGACATCAATGGATAGATCTTCCAGACCCCCCCCCAAAAAACATCAACAAAGGAACAGCAACCTTAAACAACAC